AAAGGACATTCCCATAACTCTTTCTGATAATTACACAGGGCAATGGTGGTAGTGGAGTTGGGAAATGAGCATGTGGGTACAAAGGGGGTGGTGGGGCTAAGCATGAGCCCAAGGGGAAAAACCTTGGCTTCATTGCTGTCATGCGCCTTGTCTATCTCTGTGTTATGTTCATTTTTGCACGTAATCAACTGCTGGGGCTGCAAGATACTTTCCATTCCTCTCTATTCAGCAAGGTTCAGCGGCTCCCTGCTTTATCGAGCAGCAAAAGATCCGTCTAAGAATCCCTACATAAAGATGCTCTAGAATAGTGTTACTCAACCTTGGCAACTTGAAGATGTCTGGACTTCAACTCCCAGAATTTCCCAGCCAGCGAACGCTGGCTGGGGAATTCTGGGAGTTGAGGTCCAGACATCTTCAAGTTGCCAAGGTTGAGAAACACTGCTCTAGATAAATCTGCTCTGCAGGCATACATAATCTCCCTTTCTTTGCTCAGAGCCCGTTTCATAGAAAACATGCTCTCCTTCTCTTTCTTCTCTAAAATTTAACTCTACCAAGGCTGGGCTACTCTGCGATATACAACCTCGAGACGTGGAATGAGCTATTTAGCAGAAAACCATCACTTCCTTAGTCGGAAGAGCAGGAAATGAAACGTTGCGACCCACAACTTCTCTCCCCTCAGCATTCCTCTTCTGAGTTGCTTGCATTTCTCAAGGAGGTTGGGCCACGGGACTTCACGGTGTGCAAGGGCCATGTTCAGACAGGTTCTATGGACCGGGGAAGAGCCGGTTGATCAAGATGCAAGCATCGCCATGCTTCACCCATCGTTTTTAGAGTTAGGACTCCACAGGGCTGCCAACAAGGGCAGGCTGGGTTTTCTTGGGATGATCTCAAGTAGGTGGACTTCAAGGCTGTCTCACATGAAGGGTGTGCAAGACTTGCCTGCGAGGCATAACGGGCAGTTCTGCAGTGCATGCTCTTTTGTCACAGGAAGCGTCTGAGTCAGCAAACAGCAACACAGGATGTGGTGAAGCTGCCAGTGTGTTTTTATTTCCTGCCATGGCAGCACAAAGGTTTTTTTGGCAAAAAGTGAGCAGTAGGAAACCTGCACCTCAGAGTGAGAAGGGTAGAGGGGCACCGTGCTCACCTTAGCAAGGACTATTCATTGAGAGTAACTCCATTTTTTAAGGGCTCGAAGTGGAAAGTAACTGACTCTTTCCACTCTCTAGGCAGACTGGTATCTGTTTGCTTGTGACTGCTCAGGGTGGGGGTGGGGCCCCCCCGACTACGTGTCTTTGGAGAAATGGCCAAGTCAGAAGAGGTAATTTTGGTCTAGAAGTATGAATGTAGGGCTACCTTGACTATGGTATGCTTGGCAATGGAGGTTCTAGCGCTGTTACTTTTGTGAAATGGCTCTTCTTTCCTTTTTATTTTGGGGTTTGACAGATGGCAGCTCAGCCTGAAACAGAGGGCTCAACTTTACTTAAGGCCTACCTATGGCAGACAGTGATGCCAACTGGGGAGAAGGCGCCAGAATCGGGACCTATTCACGATGGATCAGAGAGCAGCAGGTGCAAGAGGAAGATACAGAAGTGGAAGCGAGTGCACAGCCATCCTGAGGCTGAAGTTCCTGAGCCTGGACCCCACGATCTCCCACCATTGGCTTCCCAAGAGAGCAGAGCGGCCACCAAGAGATCCATCTTCCAGAGGGCTTTCTCTCTGCCAGGCAGGATGAGCAAGGCCCAGGAGAGGAGCAGCAAGCTCAGTGTGAGGAAGTACCTGCGTTCCATGTCTCATTGGAAGAACCAAGAGGCCCCCTCCCAAACAGTGAGGGAGACCAAGGAAACAGGCGAAGGTAACGGGGGGGGGGGGGGCTACGTTATCCTGCCAATTACGGTCCAGCGGGTGTAGAGGAATAGTTAGTAAAATTAGGCCATGCTCCAAGGCCAGATATACACTTTCTGCTTTCCTCACCACCAAAACCACCATTCTCTGGCTGCAGGAAAAGACAGCAATGTCTTCTGTTCATTGCCATCCCCATCTGTTCTCTGAAGCTCAGCTTTGAAAGTTCTGTTTTCTGTCCTAAGCATCTTAAACAGTTGGTTCCCCATGCTTCAATCTAGTCACATCCCCAACTCCAATTAGCTGTAGTGTCTGGCATACTTTCCCACTGCAGTGGCTGGTTGCTCCTCCATATGGTTATTTCATGCTGACCTGCTGGGCTGCAATATTCTCAGCTGGTCAGAAGCTTCCTCCCCCCCCCAACGTCTTGTAAAGAAGCTGTTGAGTGAGAGAAAGAGGGTGAAGACAGTCCCTCCATAATAGTTCACAGAATATGTGGTAGATGCAGTAGCAGAATGCTCAATTTGGACTGCACAGCAATACTGCGACCTGGACAGAAATTTGTTAAGCCAATTGCAGCACCCCTGAAGCAGCGCAGAGTGCAAGTGCCTGGCATTTAGAATTACCCAACATTTCCCCCACATATGCTCCCTTCCATCTGGTGCCGCTGCCCCTTTATCTATAGCGATAGGGCTCATGCTGTGTTTTTTATCCAAAATTCATGCAGGCATGCCTGATGCAATTTCTAGAACAGGAAAAAAAGTAGTGGTGATGGTGGCCTTCTCCACTGGGTTACAGAGAGAGCAAGGAGTTTATGCTCCTGAATTGATATGCTGAAGCCACAGGATTTGGATCGCTTGAGCTAAATTGGCACAGTCCTGGCCTGTTGAAACTTGACTTAGTTATTATACAACAGATTTCAGGACTTTTTTCCTGTATGTGGGATCTCCTTTCATAATCCTCCATCCAATTCTTGGGGGATTGTTGTTGTTATTATTATATACTTTATTCATTAAACATGAAAGTGAGTCAATTGAACATTCAAAAATTCATCACAAACACCATTGACTGGTGCTAATGGTTGATATGGGTTGCTACCAGCATCCTAGGTATCGACCAAGTACCTTTTTAAGGTGTACGATGTTCCGAGTAGCAGTGTTTTTCAGTTCCGCTGGTGTTATTGCAG